TAAAAATTCCTAAACTTTCGTCTTTACCTTTACAATTTAATCCGCTAGAACATCGGTGAGGCATATCTATCCTCCGAAATTGCAGTCGCGATATAAAATATATCGTAAACCGTTAGGTTTGTTAAAAGTGTAAACCTTAGAATAAAAATCATGTTGTAAACTCGCTCTCCGGAACGGAGCACCTCCTTCAAGTAGGAATCCTTCTATTGGCAAGGTAGCAAATTGATCGCTGCAAAAGAAGTATTGGTAGGAATAGCGTGAAGGTCACAACCAACGTATCCATCTATGTACTTCACACGACATACGGCGTTATATCCATGGATTTGTTCGGCTGACAGGAAGAGAGGAGAAAAAAAGAGGCGCAGAACTCGATATCGAAACGACTGGTATTCGATATTTATCCAATTACCATCGCGCCGAACGGAAATCGCGGAATCGGATTTACGTTTCCGGAGAACGTGGCGCGGAATTCGTGACCGCTTAAAATGCAAAAGGCCACGATTCTATCTGCAGACAAAACGTTTTGATCGCGCGGATACCGTCAATGCTTGATATTTATCCAATTACTTCGCGATTCATCGGCCCACCTCGAGGATCGGCATCGATCAGGCGGCAACGTAGACGCGTGCTCTGACGTCACGCGTAGTCGAATTCCCGGTAAAGCAGATTTCCATTTAACCTGCTTTCTCGTATGTACATTTCTCGTAATGGTAGATTATTCTACGGTATTGTATGACGATTGATGATTGTATGTTCACGTATTATGTCAGGGGATTTTACGTGAATCGTATTACCCGTATTGCTGCGGCAGGGAAAAAAGACACGTGGTCTTTTGAAACTGTGCTTTCCGAGATATCGAATTTGGTTTTTGTTCTATGCAGAAATTTTTATGAAATTTGTTATCCCACTCTTTGTGTTTTTGATGTGGTTGTCCGGCCTAGGAAAATTTCATTTTGCCTCTCCATGGAAGAACGAATCTATTGGAATTTATTTTCTGCCCCTTGCTTTTTTTAATAAAATTGTCAGATATACGGAATTCTTTGTCTGCTTCTCGTTTTTGATCAAAATTGTCAAATGAGTAAATGTATTTTATATTTTTCCATCTTTTACGAGATTTTTAAGTATATAAACATTTCTTATATGAAAAGTATTCAAAAATTTACGAATTTTCTCCCCATTTTTCGCTTTCCTGAAAAAAAAACCTGCTGAATTTGTGTTTCGGAAAATTTTGGAATTTTTTATCTTACTTTTTGCTGTGTCTGTTTTACTCTGATCGTGTAATCGTGGCATTGGAAATGTACTTTTACGCGTTATGATGATATTGTAATATTTTTCTGTTGCTTCACGTATGTGAAATCAGATATATGATATGTATATTGGAAGTATAATTCAATGAAGTCACTCGTTCCAAGTATGTAATATTTCATGTCACTGCAACGAATTTAATATTTATCGAGTACATATGGTACATATGCATGCATAAGGATAATTTTGGGACACCCTATATAATTTAAAAATTATTTAGAAATTAACCCTTTGCACTCGACGATTTTTTGGCTAGAGAAGCGTAGAAATTTAAAGATTCTCTACTAAAATACCAACGATATCTTTTTGAGCAGTAAATAGAGAATTGTATAATAATAGAATTCTAGAATTATTTGATTTCGATACCTCGCACATTATTATATTAAATTTGATATATTAATTAATATCCATCTTTAAAATTTGATTAAATGGCGACTGAAGGGCGCCTCTCGAGTGCAAAGGGTTAAAAATGCGTCGTCATTGTTGAGCAGTATTTACAATTTTTAATTAAAAACCCGTGTTTCCTATCAAAATTTCTTCTTTCCTGAATTTTGGGACACCCTATATTTATAAAGAAAAATTGACTCCAGCATTAATATGTAATTAATTTATGTAAATTAATTTGTTTCTTTTTTTTATTATAGTCTATGACAAACAAAATGAAATTTTGCATCAAATTCTACAGCAATTTTTAAAGTAAAAGGAAATTTTATTAACGCTTCAGAGCAGCTTTGAAAACGGTGACAATTAATTAATGAATCACTAACTGTCTTTCAGTTAGATGCAAAAAGAATTCTCTTGCTGGAAGTTGCGCTTCAAACGAATTTACAATTAGTTCATACGAATGCAGAATATTTAAAATGCTATCTGACGTACAATTGGAGTGTTTCCATTGAAACAGGACTCTCTGACTGAGATCGTTCCGCGGAAAGCTAGCTTATTTGTATGCAACTAATTGTATGTGGTAAATTTGCATCTACCGTGTGGTTTGAAAACTTTAAACGCCTTTCTCGCCGAACCTTTGATGTTGATTGTAACTCCAAAGCGATTTTAATGACGGGGATGTATACTGATTTTTCGAATAGCGTGCAATTAAGGCAGCGTTCTAAATTAAAAGGGTGCTTACATCCTTAGCTGGTATATTAAGCCCCATTTTCAGTTACCTTTAACGCTTGCCACTTTTTCTGGAAGTTTTCTGTCAGAACATTCGTACGTTCATACAGTTTTTAATGAAAGAAAATATTTTCCTGCGTTACCGGTGTTATGTATTATAGAAACTAGCTTCCGGCTAATAAACGTTAATTAATATCCTCTTAAACAAGAGTGTAAAAAGTGGTAGTATGTACAGTTCTATATTGAATAAAAATAATTATTCCACTATCGTGAACCAATTTTATAGAGCTACTTTCACACGTTGAATTTTAATGTAGAAATGTGGAGGAATTTTGAAAAGGATTCTTTGAAATACAGAATTTTTTGAATTATACTGGCTGTCCCAAAATTTACGTAAGAGTTAATTTTGATAGAAAACACAGGTTTTTAATTGAAAATTGTAAATATTGTTTGACAATGAAGACACGTTGTTCTTTCATGTAAGGTTCCATTTTTAATAACCCTGGACTGTCAGTTGCCACTCTAAATTAAATTAAAAAATTTTAAGTTTATTCTTTTTTTTTGTAAAAAAATTTTTATTATTAAACTAAAATTTAAAATAATAAAATTAAAATATTTAATTTTATAATTTTAAAAAATCTTTTTTCATTTCATTGGCAACACTTTATCTCACAAATGACACAAAATTCAAATCTTGCGTGTATTTTAGGACATCTTATGTATTAATAGTTAAGACCATTTATTAAATTAACTAATTTTATAGAACTATTTTTACGTGTCAGATTTCAGTATAGAAATTGATTGGAATTTTATAAACGATTTTCTTAAATAAGAAATTTTAAAAATAATAATAATCAGTCGTATATTAAATAAAAATAATTATTCCATTGGCATGAATCAATTTCGTCAAGCTTCTTCACATGTATTTCAATGAGAAAATTGAGAGGTGTTTTGAAAGAAGAGAAAATTGTTTCGAAAATACAGAAAATAGGTAATTCACGATGCCACAAAAGCCTCTTTGCATGTATATTAGAAAATTGCATCTTGGATATATCAAAATGAGTAATTGTTACGACACAGAAAGCAGGGAAAGCTTTCTATTCTAGGCTTTTCACGAGTTTTGGCCTTGAAGCCCAGAGAATTACCAAAAATGAATTATACGGTTAATTTAACATTCAAGGTTCTCCATTAATAACTCGAATTTCGTTGCGTACACGTACGTAGTCGTAAATTGAAAACGTTTTCGTGATTCACAAAGCAGAAGCACGCTAAAGTACAGACAGACAAAGTCATAGACTCTAATTACCAACTTAATATTATAGTTTCTATAGCAAGTGTCTATGAATTTAGAAAACGTGTGTAATATATTTATAAGGAAACTATATTGTGAAAGAAGTATTTATAATATATATACAATATAGTTTCCTTATAAATATATTATACACGTTTTCCAAATTATATATAATATTATAAATTCTTCTTTCACAATATAGTTTCCTTATAAATATATTACACACATTTTCCAAATTCATAGATGCTTGCTATATTTTCCCTTTCAATTACCATTAATATTTACTCAGTAAAAATATGATATATTTTCTTGAAATAATCTCTAGCATTTTTGAAAAATTTGTAATAAATTAAAATATAGCAATATACAGTAAATAGAGTAATTTCATTATTATTAATTATTATTATTATTCCTCACAATAAATACAGTCAAAAGATTGACATACGTGTTCTTATGTAATATAATATAATTTAAAATAATATAATATAAAATAATAAAATTTAATATAGTATAAAATAAATTAATATAAATTAATATAATATAAAATAATATAATTTGATATATATTCATTCCTCATAAGTAAACAGTATGACTACTATCATTCATTCTCTGAACAGCTGAAATATTACAACAGCTTACATTAATGATATATTTTCTTGAAATAATCTCTAGCATTTTTGAAAAATTTGTAATAGATTAAAATATAGTAATATACAGTAAATAGAACAATTTCATTATTATTAATTATTATTATCCCTAACAGTATTATCCCTAACAGTCAAAAGATTAACATATATTTTCTTATATAATATAATATAAATTTATATAAATTAATATAATTTAAAATAATATAATATAAAATAATAAATTAATATAATATAAAATAATATACTTTAATATATATTCATTCCTCATAAGTAAACTATATAGCTACTGTCACTCACTCTCTAAACAGCTGAAACCTGACCAATATACATTACATTAATGATTCGTCTTCTGATTCTTCCTTTATGCCAGTGCATTTTATCATTTCTTATCATTCTATCTCATTTAGCCTCTATCTAATCCCATCTCTAGATAAACCATCTCACTCAACGATGAAAATTCGTGTACCCTATTTTTCCAGGCATACTAATGAAAATATCCCCATTACACTCTACAATCTCTCACAATCAACCCTTCATCTCCTTTCTCAGACCCTCATCTTCTCATAGACACACAGTACCAACGCTTATTCAGCTTAAGGAAGCCAACCAGTTGATTTCACGTATTTTCTCGTGCTTGTTCACAGATACACGAAGACGGTAGCAGATTCGAGCCTGATGGCGCAGAGGTACAACCCAGAGTTCACTATAACGACAATGTCGCCGACGACGACTTCCTACAGCAACTCGAACACCAGCGTGCTCATTGACCAATTGAGGCACATTAATCAGGTGAGTCCGTGTCCAACCGTAATTCGTTCCTCAGCCTTGGCTGACCGTGTTTCCGATTGAATTGTGTCTCTCCTGTTCGCATCCTGTTTTCGAATCGCGCTCTGATAGAGACGACTGCTCGCCTGCGCAAAATACCATAACTTACGATGAAGTTGCCGAACTCCTTGACTCATCGCTAATACGTGTTACCGATTTCCAAACTTTCTCGATCTATTCCACGAGTGGGAATGGAGCTAGCTATAGAGGGAGGAGGTTCATGTCGTGAATGTACAGGAGACAGGGTAGAACAGTTTAGGATTAACTGGGATGGAAAGATGGAGAGTAATAGAGAAGACCATATTATTTGTTATTCTTATCATGCCACCACTGACAATACGAAGTTAATTTGACTTCAAGTCACTACTATTGATAGGGAGTCAATTTGATGTGAAGTTATTGCTATTATAGTGATACGGAGTCAATCTGACATGCATAGTGTTAGGAGTCAATTTGACGTACGTCACCACTCTAAAGCTAATATTAACTTTTGTTAAAAATAATGGTAAATATAGTAGTAAATAATAATAGTAAATAATATGTGGTAAAAATGTGATTAACAAATACATAATGATATAAAATTTTAAAAATCATCGATTTAACTTTTACAATAATTTGCATGCATGAAATAAATATAAATTATCCTGCGATAAATCCGTTGTACGCTTGTATTTATAAAAGCATAGAAGAGAGGAATAAAACCGCGTTGTTAAATTATTCTCTGTCACATATGTAAATTAATCAAAATTCGTATCAGTCGTATTTAATTTTTAAAAATATTTATAACATGTGATAATTCCTGGCTCTCTTTTTATTTATTTACCCGGTATTAAATTCTGCCTGGACTTCGGTATTAAAATGAAATTGGAGATACGATTTACGTAACTGAGTCTTATTAGACAAAAGTTTGGTAAATATTAAAGGATGTCAGTGGAACGTTCAATTTAAGTGTGAATTATTTATATATGTGCCTTCGAGAAAAATCGAAATAGATTCTCGAGACTTGAAAATACAATCTTGGATAAATTGAGATTGACAGGATTAAAAAATAAAATTTAATTAATTCTAATTCTGAGACGTTATTTATTGTGGCGAGTTCGGGTAATATATTGATAAATTGAACGCAGACTTAAGCAGAATATTAACCAGTTAGCTGTGATTGTCGAGTATATAATAAGACGAACGGGAATAAACGAGAATAAAACGAACAAACAAAAAATATGAATAATTTGAGATGAACTCATGCGTCCCAGTATGCACCGGCTGATACAGCTTATAAGTTCGCATAACGAATTTATTTATGTGCGATGATAACGTTTTTTAGATGTTAGCGTAAAAGGGGCAAAAGCAAAAGTCGGAAAGCTGATTTATGATAGGGTTCCTTCAAGATGATCCGCCACGGGACAAATGTGTGACGCTGACCAGGCATTGGGCCCATTGATGGCTGTTGGCCCGAAATTACCTAGCTATTTTTTGACGGTTACTAAAATTCATAGATATCCATAAAAACTAATCAATAAGAGAATAGATGTTAACCAAATAAGTAAATATTAGTAACAAAATTGTCAATTTTATAAAATAAACTCATCTTTTCGATCCAATATTTTAACAGCGACACTTACTCTGTGATTGTCGAGTATACTCGTCATCGCTCGATTTTCGCGACACGTATAGGTGCGCGCTCTCAAAAGGGGGCGCCACAGCTAACTGGTTAAAAGCAATTTACATGTTCTCAAAAATTGTAAAAATAAAATGTCTGAAACAAGACATCTTGATTCCTTTGGTAATTCTAGTATTGATTCAATCAATCACCTTAACATCGTTGTAGTATAAAATCACCGAACGAGGCCTTGTCTTACGCGGGATACAGATAGCCCTTGCTATATATAATTTAATTAAATTCGGTAAACGTATCCCTTGTCTCGTCCCAAAGAGTCCTCCCTTCCGAAACAAATTAATTTACATAGCTAATTTACCTGCAAACGGTTACAGCTAACTGGCTAAAAAAAGTATCGAAATTTTTAACTAATAAAGTGCATCTATTCAACATAGATCTAAAAATGAATTTCTCTAATATAAGATCTAAAATTATTTACATTATTTGTAACTATTATTCGATATTTCTTATTTCTTATTATTAAATGACATTATTCGCAAAATTCGTCTGCAGTGAAGAACACGGTTAAATTTACAGCAGCTGAAGATCAGCATTTTTCCGACGAAAATTGGCTGATCCTTCAATTTTTGAGATGAGTGGTACTACGATACTATAACCCTGGTAGCAAGAAGCTCGACTACAATTTCCATAAGAACTTATGCAACAGTCAAAGGAGCTCGTCATCCGAAATACCTGAAATTACGCGGCCACGGAAGTAAAAGAAATAAATTTTTGATAGGAAGAGCGTAAAATTCAGGACGTTGCGCACAATGACCAGCACGCCAGTTCCTCGAGAGGCAGCGTTCTTAATCCCTCTTCAAGATGCCTTTATACTCCGCATAATACAATAGCAGTGCCGCAGTTGTAATTACGAACGAAACAGGGCATTTCTCTGCACTTCAGCTCCGCGTAATCTTGTTCGTGATTATTAGTTAAACGCGAAAATCGCTTTAAGCAAATGCGGATAGCCACGTTTAATCCTTCGCAATCCAAATGTACCTTCCGGGCACAGGCAGCGTCAAGCGTTGCGGTTCGAGCATGCTTCCGAGACACGTGGAAGTTTAAGCTAACATTATGTGCAGATTACGTACAACATTTTATAACGAGCTCCAGGATATGGGGAAACACGGGGTTCGATGGTATCGACGCGATTACTCGGAGTATTACATGCGATTTTTACGTCGTGTATAGAACGATGCTGAGTGAAAAGACGCGAGATATCTTGACTGGTCTTGTCGTGGGCATGTGGTTTTGTGGATCGATTGATTCTTGGGTTAGGATATGCTTTTGTTTTCTAATATAGTTTTATTTAATTATAGTCAGTCGTAGAAGTGTTTAACCACGAGTAATAATTTTCCATTAGGCTTCCACTTACTAGATTGCTGGGCTGACTAAAAAATAATGTCGGTATTTTTGGTATAAGAAAGTATAAATGCTAATTTCGTTGAAAACAAAGGAAGTTTTGTTAAATAATATGTTTGCTATTTTCATCATATTTCTAAATCCGGAAAAATAATTTTGAAAAGAAGAGTATTATTTACTACAAAAATTTAACGGTACTTTATTGACCATATTAATAATTATACTTGTTTTTAAGAATTCGTTATAATTAATCGAAATAAATTTTCTAAAAGAGAGGAAGGAAAATTGTACTTTGAATACAAATTCACTTTTGTATGTTATTGTACCATGTACCGTAAATTTAAATTTTAAATGATCATTATTCTTTTGCAACATAAACTTCAAAATGTTTATGAAGGAAAATGTGTGTTGCACCAAAAACAAATATATTGAATTATATAATAATATAAATATAATATAATAATATATATATATATATATATATATATATATTATA